TTCAAAATATTGAGAACCAAAATTTATTCCGCGAAAAATCTGCGCATCTGTATCATTCAAATCGTTGAGTTTAACTTTATTTGCCGTTTCGAAGACATTAAAGTGCAGCGTTTCAAATTCTATTGTTTCGTTATTCATTGTGCTTAAAATGAGAAATTAAAAGCGCTTTGAAAGAAAAATAAAATTAAAAAAAATACGCATCGCTACTTTTTAAATTCTCGACTAAATATTTTATTATATTTTAAAATGGCGTACTTATCTTCACTTCGAAGTCGTTTCACCTCTTCCCAAAGTTTCCTTCGTTGTTCAATCGTTTCTTGCGAAAAGTCCTCGTTAATATACACACCAGTTCCTTTAAGATTTTTTACAGCATTCAGGATTTTGTTTTTATACTGGAAATTTAAGAGTTTTAATATTATTGTTCTAGGTTTTTTATTATTAATTGGGCCAATTCGATGGGCTCTTTCAATAACCACTTCGCTTGATATTTTAAGATTTTTATTAAAGATTTCTTTCACTGCAATTTCACACTCGCTCCAACTTTCTCCTGGTTTTTCTACTAGTCCATCTATTCTGAGATTATTTCGACGTGATCGATTTTCCAAATCTGTTGTTCTTGTATACAATACGTTGATTTCATTGTCGAAGTATTTTTAAATTTTTTTAAGTTTTTCTAAAGTTTTTTCTTCTTGGAAATTTAGACTATCTTTAACGTCGTTAAGATCCTTTTCTATATTTTTATTGATTTGTTTTCTAAAATTTCTTTCTCCATCACGTTAAGTTTATCTGATATGATTTTAAGGTTGCCACTTACAATTAAAGTAAAAGTTTTCTCTTGTTCCTTGAGTAGCTTTTCTGTTTCCTTTAAAATACTTTTCCTATGTTCATCTAACTTATTTGATATTAGTATTTTAATGTTTTTCATTGTGATTTCCATTGCTTTTTTATTTACTTAAAACACGTCTTACTCCAGTTGATTATGAGATTTAAGGAACATGCCTTTGTAACTTTAATTGGCTAAATCCTTTGACCTTGGGAAAAATTAGAGAATCTCAGAAAATTAACACAGAAAAAATTTGACCTGAACTAGGTATTAGAGAACAATTTTGTCAAAAATTTAACTGATGTCACTATTATATTTTTTTATCAGTTTTTATATTATACGCCTTTTAATGTCTTCTCTTTAAAGATAGCTAACATTAAGCTAAATCAAAATATATTTAAAAAGTAATTTAAAACCTGCTTTTTTTTTATCGAATTTAACATTAATTACGTAATTTATTACATAATTAATTTAATAAATTATAAAATCTAATTAGACTAAACATTAAATGCAAATTTTTAGCCAGCTTAATATACAAACTAACGTAAAATACAACGCTACGCTAATTAAAAATGCAAATTTAAATCAACCTAAATGTTATACTATCCAACTTAAAACAATTTTAATTCAGCGTTGGTTTTTTGTTGTAACCAAATTCGTATTAAAAAAAAAACGTTGGCGATCAATTTTGTGCCAAAGCAACTCGCTACATTGTTCAACTTTTTTATCAACGTGCTAGCTGGATAAGAAACCATTTAAAATTTAAATTTATATACTAGAATTAATGTAACACTAAAAATTTCATTTCAAATGATACATATTATTAATTTATTAGTCCATTAAATTCTTAGAAATTATTATTTTGAGAAATAATAATTTCTAAATTAAAATATTTCGTTCAAGTACATTGTTACATTTACTATTCCAATATTATTTACAACTGGTCGGCAATAAATAAAAATACTTTTGAACCTTTTGATTTTTTTGCTTCTTTTAAATGTATGAGTATTCTCTGAATACATTTAAAAGTGTTGTTTTGCATACATACATATACTACGAACCGTGTTGTTTTGCATACATACATATACTACGAACCGTGTTGTTTTGCATACATACATATACTACGAACCGTGTTGTTTTGCATACATACATATACTACGAACCGTGTTGTTTTGCAGTGAAATACCTTGCCGAAAATAGTAACTGACACGACATCAGTGAACATATTAAAAAATCGATTAAATGAACATTTAACTCAATTAAAAGAGAATTTTAAAAGATAACTGGAAATAAACTCTCTTCACAAATGCTTCCAGTATTCTATTATGTTCTAAACGTATGGCACTTGTGTCGCACATGTGCAAGACTGTTAGTATAGAGGTGTCTCATGCAGCCTCTTTTCAATTTAAGTTACGAGATTTCAGTCCAGAATACTTTGAAAACCTTTTTTTCTCGCTTGACTAAAATTTTTTGTGCAAGTTTTTAGGAGCCTCGAGTTATATATAATAATAAAAATATATATGCATATAATGATCGCTTTAAAAAAAAAAAGACACGGGGACTCGTGGAAGACCATACAGTCTGGTTGTCGAGTACTGCTAAGAAATGTTCGTGTTAAAATTTATAAGGTATTTGCAAGATAAAAAATAAATTAACGAAGTAAGAAACTTAAAATATTCCGTTATAAATACAAGATGCGCTATATCTATTATATATGTAGGTTACAGTTGTTAATGAAACATATATAATTTTTATGAATTCATGTTTAAATAGAGCACTGTAAAAAAAAAAAAAGGGTTTTTTTAAATAGCTCTAAAAAGTTTTTTACTTTGTCTCGAGGGTGGAACTCTTTAAGGGTTTTCTAGGAAACCCTTTTTTTAAAAACCTTTATTCCGAACCTGTAAAACCCTTTTTTAACTTGTTCTTCCGTTCTTGTTTGAATTATAAATTATTCAAAAAAATTTTATATTACGCTATAACGATTTCAAGCACGTATAAAGTTGGATATATATAACGTATAAAGTTGTATATTTAGGATAGATTAAATGTACACTTTAATTTATACATAATATTGCTTATATGCAAATGTTTAGATTCTTTAATTCCACTGCAATTTGGCATGCAATATGAAAACTCAATAAAAAAAATTTCTCTCATAATGTTTAAAATCTTATAACATTAAAGTAATATACAAAAAAGTTTACATAAAATAATTAAAACATCAGAGACATGTCAATAAATGTTGTACAAAAAAAAAACATGTTGTACAAAACGAAAAAAATTGGAAAATAACGTTTAAACTATTATATGAAACTATTATGAGCAATTTTATTAAACTATTATTACCTATTATACAAATTTTTTGCTACATATTTAACTATTACAACTTATAACTACTTATATGTTATATTACTTCTATATTCCAACGTTATAAGTAATATGAAGTTTATTTAACGTTAAGACCTATTTTCAAAAACTAAATCGAGAAATCGCCTAGTAGCACAATAAAATAGAACAAAATTTAGAAATATTGCAAATATTCAAATATCAATTTTTTCGAATTTACTGACAAAAAAACATAAATAAATTATAAAGATTAACAACAAAAACATAAAAAAAACAAAAGTCATAAATTTCAGTGCAAAAGGAGGTTGCCCCATTTGCTGACAACATTTGGCAGTTTTCCTTTCCCACCAAGAAGCACTTTTTCTAAAAATTGACATGTATTGGACAATCCTTTTGGGAATTCAATGCTAAATATCCAAAATGCTGCAAACCATGCTTGAAAAGCATCGAAAAAAGTGCAAATAGTTTTAGCAAACAAAACTTCGCCGACTGAAATATTCCACACACATTACCATATAATACAAATTATTGAGAACTCTTCAGCTAAAGGATAACATCACTTTTTTAAATTGTGTCCTTTATATGAGAGTATTTATATGGACTTAATATATTCAATAATTTATTTCCTCAAACCAGTAAATTTTTGCATTTCCTTAGATCTTTTTCCTAATATTTCTTAGATCATCTTGTTATAAAATATATATTACCCAGCCGGCATTATTACGTTGTTTCAACGTTGATATTTGGTTGAAAGGTTGTTTCAACGTTGGTTAACCAAATCGCAACGTTAAAACAACGTTACTGTTTAAACGTTGTTGAAAAGACGTTATTTCAACGTTATTTCAACGTTGACAAAAAAACTCAATTATAAAATATATATATTTTATAATTGAGTTTTTTTGTTGACAAAAAAACTCAATTAAAGTATCCGTATGCCCATATATGGATGTATCCATCGATTATGTACGGAAATTTTCCGTATTTGTAGCTAAATTTTCAAATACGGAAAATTTCCGTTGTACTTAAATAGAAAATACATGTTAAAGATTTTTAAAAGTTATTTTTATGTACGCATTTATCTTCAAAAATAAGTTCTGAAGTTTCATTTGCAGGGCGAAGAAAGTTCGCCAGGCGTTTTAATACAAACTGTTCTGTTCTTTTTAATTTTAAAATTACATGAGCTTTATTTGGTCCCTGGATTGCTTAGAACGAGACTATCTTTAGTAGGGTTCTTGACACAAGACTTGTGCATTCTTAGTTCAATTTTGAGTGATTTTAAATTTATGGAAGTGCACTCACATAACATTTTATATATAAAATAGATAATTTCAAAGCCAAGGAAAAAGTTCACATGTTAAAATATGTAGCTTAAAAAAAAAAAAATTTAAAATAGCACTACTTAAGCACTAGTGCTTTTTTATGATAAGACCGATAAATTTTTCATCGTTTTTAAAACTTTTTATAACAATTTACATTTTTATTAATATTTAATTACAATAACTTTATGAATAAGATATTTAAGTTATCTACAAGTAAATATTAAAAAAAAAAAATTAAAAACAAATTTATAAAGATTACCCCAGAAATTACAACTATGATTAGAATACATTATTAAATTTATTTGTTTATAATATTCATGCAGGATAGTCATGCAGAATAGTAAAATTCTATATAAAATAAATACATCTGCTATAATTTTTCTTCATTATTTCTGATTGTTTTTAGAAAAAGTTTGATCAGTTCACTAAAAGATTTTGAAAGTTGTATGTAAAACTAAATCAGTTTTACATACAATTTAAATACAAAACACACAGTTTTGATCAGTTCACTA